AAAAAAAAAAAAAGGGCCATAATTCAATTAGCCCCTCAGCTGAGCGCCGGGGAGGGCAGCCCCTCTGAAGTCGCCGACCTGGGGGCGACCGGGGGCGAGTGACCCCTGTTTGTGCGGGAGGCCTCACGCGTGGCATTGTCTGGCCCTAATGGGATGCGCCGGGGCCCGGCCGGTGGCGAGGAGCCGGGGGCCAGCGGTGGCCACGCCGCTCCGCCCGCCCCCGGTACCCACGTCGGGCTGCGGCTGCCCCCGGCCGGGAGGGGTTTTTGGGGGGTTTGGCGGGGGGGGAGACGGACGGGAGGGGACACACACACACCCCGAGAACCCCCCCCCTCCTCCGGCTCAGCTTCTCCACGTCGGGAGAAGCTTTTTTTTCTAAAGAAAAAGAAAAAAGAATAATAAAAATTGGGAAATAATTTGGTTTTTTTCGCCTAGAAAAATCCCTGCGAGGCGGCGGCACCGCGGGGCGCGGGGAAAAGCATCCCGGGGGGAGTGAATTGGGAAGGGGGGGGATAAAAAAAATAAAAGAAGCGATCGTAGTTTTGGGTCAAGACTCGCCGTTTTGGGGAGGGTTTGGGGGCTTTTACAGCGAGCGGCGCCCGCAGCCCCCGCCACGCCGCGGTGGATGTGCGGATCGGGCTACATTAATTAACCTATACATCTCTTTTTTTTAAAAAAAAATATATATACATTTCTCATTTCACCTCTGCCAACTTTGCGCGGCTGTGCGCGCCCAGCCACCTCCGCACGGGCGTACCGGCGCTATTCACACCCCATCCCGCCTGGAATTTTGCCGACACGGGGACCAAAAATGATATAAAAGGCGTTTATTTATTATTTTTTTTTTTTTTAAAGAGCGTTGTCGGTATGGCCTATGATTCCCCCCACCCCGTGCTTCCCAAATTAAACAAAAAAACACCAAACCAAACTATAATATATTTTATGCGTGTTTTAACCACTTCACGAAATTCCGATTTTATCCAGGCGTATTTCTGGCCGATCCCGGTTTGTTTTCCAGAGGCGGGGGGAACACCGCATCTCTCTCCTTTTTGAATCTGTCTCAGTTGCAAACAACGGTAACCGGGGATCGCAGGCTCCCCTTCTCCCGCCGGGCTCCCAAAGCGAGGGGAAGGCGGAGGAAGACACCCTTCTTTACGTCAAGAATAGATATTCCTGTAATTCTCCTCCACCACTTTTTTTCCTTTTTTTTT